TTTTTTTCTCAAGAAAAAAAAGCATTCACTTGGATATCTATGTAAGATCCGGTTCAGGAGGGGCCAGCCTCTTAATAAGTCTTTTAACATTTAATCCGTTCATTGTTTTCTTTGCCTGATTAATGTCAATAAATAACTCCACGAATCTCCTAAATTCAACACCTACCTAGGTAATACTAATAATCAATCTCATGAATATTTATATTTACTTCTTTTGAGTTCACCAAACCCCGTGCCACGTGTCACCGACTTTGTGCGTCGAGAACTGCAACACGTGGCTTCTGTTTGGAGGAAAGCACAACACCACCTACTAAATTATTATTAATATAATAAAGTAATAAACAAAATTACTTTTTTTCTTTTTAATAAAACTTGTTCTGTAATATTATACGAAAAATGTAAAGAAAGCATGAAAATTGATAAGTACTGATGAGGGCGGTGCTAAACTTGGTTTGCCACGTTTAACCCCGAATCCGATGCCGTCTCGCCACGTGTCTTTTCCTTTATTCCCTTCCTTTCAAATAAACAAATAATAATAATAATAATAATAATAATAATAATAATAATAATACAACAAAATAATAATGCACCCGTATTATAAGTAGCACAAGAACAACAATTAAAACAGCCGTTAAGTTTTTCTTCAACTCTCATATATCAACAGTTACAAATCAATGGGTCGTTTCTTGACTTTGCTCTCTACCCTTCACACCATGGCCGGGTAATTTCTATAGCAAGTTATTTATTAATAATAATAATAATAATAAGTATAAGTTTATTACATTTAATTTTTCACGAAATAGTGATATTTGCGTTTAATTAAATTATACTTTTATTTGCAGGCCAGGGGTTATGCTTCTCTACCCGCTGTGAGTGAATATACAAATAAACATTATTTATAATTAATTTTACTTTTAAATTTTGATTATTGAATTAAAAAATGTAAAACATCTAAATGAATTTTGAATTAAAAAATATATGTAAAACAATTTAAATGAATTTTTCAGGTATGCATCAGTTGTGGCAATAGAAAGCACTTCGAAATTAGACGACGAACAGTGGCTGGCTTATTGGATTTTGTACTCATTTCTTACTCTAATGGAGATGCTTCTTCAGCCTGTGTTGGAATGGTAATTAACTACACACAATTTACAAATATGTGTTTTTTTTTTTATTATTAAAAAATAAAAAAAATGGATCCAATGTTATTTTTTGGGGGAAATTTTTTATTATGATTATTTATTTGAGTGAGTGAATTAATTTAATAATACAGGGTGCCCATATGGTACGATGTGAAGCTAGTGTTTGTGGCGTGGTTGGTTCTGCCACAGTTCAGAGGGGCTGCCTTTATTTATGAGAAATTTGTTAGAGAGAAAGTGATAAAGAGGTACGGAGGAGCACATTTCAACAAATCCCCCAATGGGAAGGGGAAGAAAGACAAATTAGTCGATTTTGTCTCTGCTAAGAAGGTAATGAAAATTATTCTATGATCACGTTACAGTATCATCCCGATGGATGTTTTAATCGTTTAATATACATGTAGTAGTATAAGATAAATGTGTCAACGGTTAAAGTATTCGACGGGATGATACAGTAACGAGACCGTAGTATTTTCATATCGGATTATTTATCTTCTTATTATAATTGATGCTTAAGTAAAAAGTTTGATTGTGGCAGGTGGAGCAAGAAGCTTACTAGTGAAGAAAATGGTTGAAGAGGGAACTGGGTTTGCTTTTATTAAAACTACTGATTGATGTTTTTAGCTTTAACTTTTCTATGTTGTGTTAGAGTGGTTTGAAATCATGTTGTATGGATCCTTTACCATAATTCCCATTTTCTTATGTATACATACATTGGTTGTGTAATTGTGTAGTTAGTTACAAATACAATTATTTTTAGAGGTTTTGCCTCTATATACATTAACTAAACTTACCATTTTCTCATTACATAAATAACACAGATATAATTTTATTTGTTGTATATAGAAGGTTGATCCACTATGAAATCAACTGTTGGTTTCATAGTAAAATCGTTATTTTTTGTCGATCCACTATGGAGCCAACTGTTGGCTTTATAAAAAAACCGTTATTTTTAGTTCAACCAGAAGATATATCAAGTTTTAATAAATATTCAAGACAAATCCAAGGGATATATTATTAAGGGCATCCACATCTCACCCAATTTATTCAATCATAATAACTAACATTTTCTTCCATAATTCTACTGAACTTTGGGTTTTCGAAATAGTGTAAAAAAAAATTGGGTTTTCGAAATAGTGTAAAAAAAAGAAGTGGAAGCTAGTGTAAAAAGAAGTGTTCCAATTAAATTTATACTCATTCCTATTTATAACTTACTTTCTCTCTCATTCATGTTATCATTTCACTAAACATATTTTCATTTCATCATTCATCCACATTCATATTGATTAATTTAAGTACATTCATATTGATTAATTTAAGTACGTATATAAGAGATGCATTAATTAACGAGTTTAATTATATACTCGTTCAATGTATATTTTAATATTATATCTGTAATAAAAATAAAAAGTTAATATTTTTAAATTATAATAATAAATTTTAAATACATGAAAAGATGAAAATCTTATTAAAATTACAAAAAAAAATAGTAGAATTAATATTTTAATTGGTTGAAAATGAGTCCAAATATGTTAAATTGGCAAAAAAGGTAATTTCGTCCTTTATTTGAAGGCCTTTTATATTTGGTCCCGTAAATGGACTGTTTTTGGAAATGGTCCCCTAACTGAAAAATAATTAGTTTTTTGGTCCTCTGACCGCCTACAGCAGGTCAGAGTTACCGGATGAGCACTACAAAATAAATGTTATATTCCAACAGAAAATCCTATGGTAATATATTCCAATGGAAATTCCAACGGATATTCCAATGGAACAGCTTCCGTTTGAATAGTTCCAACAGAAATTTCAACGGAAATATTCCGTTTGAATGTGTTTTTCATTGGAATTTTAGATGGAATTTGATGATTCTAACGGCTATATTTTCAACGGCTTTTTACCGTAGAAATTTTCGTTGGAATATGCAAATTCCGTTGGAATTTTTTTTCCACCCTCGTTGGAAAATCCACCGTTGGAATCGTCAAAATCCAACGGAAATTCCAATGGAAAAACCCATTCCAACGGAA